TGGTATATTTATCACAGACAGTAGGGCAATTGTCACATTTAGTGCTCCAAGAAAATATTCTCTGTCCATGTGTATTTATATAAATAGATGCAGTTTCTTTGGCTTGAATAACGATCACTGGCTTCGTACATACAGGTATACTGGTTTACCTGTTTCTAGTTGAAATATAGCCAATCTTATTAACCAAGACAGTTGGACATTTGCCACATGTCACAACACTCATTTCCAAGTGCCATAGCTTGAAACAAGTAGTCAAATCTGATATTGGCTGGAGCTTTAGTTTATATGGACATGGTAAATGGCAAACTAGATGGTCAGAAAGTAATAAAAATAATCACAGCTTTACTCCACCCACCCCACTATGAAGTAAAAGGCTGTTTATAAGGCCATGTATGATGGTTTCATTTTTCTTATGGAAAACAATTTTAATTAAAAACTTCTATGCTCCTGTACCCAACCGTGGGGGTTCATCACACTAAACAACAGGTGTCACTATTACTAAGATAAATGTACTTTTTTTTCATTAAAATTACTGATATATATATATATATATATATATATATATATATATATATATATATATAATATCAAAGAAATCAGACTAGTGGTTTTCAACAAGAAATCAAAAATATCACTTTTACAAAAATATTCACCAAAATTAGAGAAATAAAGATATCATAATGGAATGAAAAAATCCGAGAGAGGTCCACATGTAGTACCTATTTGTGTACCGGTAATATCAAAGCAATCAGACTTGCAGTTTTTAACAAGAAGTCGAAGATATCCCTATTTACCAAAAGACAAAATATCAGCAAAAAATTGAGAATTGAAGATATCATCAAGAAATGAACAAATCTAAGAGAGGGCTACCCAAGGTAAATATACACCAAGTATCAAAGCATTCAGGCTTGTAGTTTTCAAAAAGAAGTCGAAAAAGTAAAAAGTTGACAAGGATGACGACGGATAATCATTCATATGATAAGCTTTGCTCGACAAAGTTGACAGCGGAGCTAAAAACAGAGTAAGTGGAGATGTCAGTGGTATTCTGTAGCAAAGTGTCACCACCTGGAGCATCCAGGGATCGGTCACCCGCTGCCTCCAAACCGGAATGCACCGGCGCAATCTGTGTGCGACAGGGATATGTGGCCATGGGTTTGGTGGTTGCATGAGGTGAGTTGTAGTCACTAAGTTGTGACCTGGCCCCTCGCTGAACATATGCCCCTCCCCCGCTGCTGAAGTAAGCTCAAACATGCTTCCCCCGCTTCCAGGGTGGACGAACACCAGAGAAGGATGAGGAGCCACCACCTGGTCCCTTCTTCCCTGGGGGCGTGCCACTACTTCTCCCTCCCGCAGAAGGGTATGAGCGCTTGCCTCCTGGCTGACTCTGGCTAGCGGATGTCTTCTTAGGGCGTTGTGTTTTCTGTGCTTGGGGCGCCCTCCGTATACCCTTGGCAGCAGCCAACTGGCTAGCGGATTTGACCTGAACCATCTCCGAGACTGCACCCGCCATCTCCTGATAAAAGAGGGTGGGCGATGTCCAGTCTGTGTAACGGTGGTGACGTACCCCCTGACTCAGTTCGCCGGCAGAAACACACGCGTCTAAGACTGCGTTTCGTTGCACAGTAGTTGCCCCAGCCATGAGAGCCAGGTGACACTGGTAGATGTCGCACATAGCTGTGCGGTGGCCCACCATTAATTGTGTCGCCTGGTCTAGGAGGCAGATGCGTTCTGCCACCAAGGTCTCAAGTCCTGGGCGCGGACAATAATGCGCTCCAGTGTGCGGGCCACATACTCTAGGAAATTAATGGGTCGCAACTCTGCCCCCAGGGCTTGCTGGATCGTCTCATACTGAACTGGTGAGAACACCCATGGAACGCGGCCGTGCCCCTTCACTCAGTTTGACAAACAGAAATTCGTAGTACCGGGGGGTCTGGGGAAGAAGCCTTGGGGTCTGGTTGGGGACGTTTGATCTCATCCCACAATTTGGGGTCTGATTTCAAAACCACACCGACCGGGTAGCATGAGATTACCCCACCTGGGGGCCTTAGGTGTTACCTCCTCTGCGGCTGACCAACGTCCGCCCATCAACATCGTCTGCGCGTGCTCCACCACACTGAGCACTTGCCTGGACCAGGGAAACCGTGCCGACATGGTTACTTTGGATCCCAACACTTGTGATCCCATAAGCGTTGAAGCAACAGTAACAACCCAAGCCAGAAACCTGGACAGGAACAAGCAGGCCTTCCAGGCAGAGCTGCTAAAGTACATCCCTCTTGGTCACGTGGTTTGTGACGTAAGGGAAACAAAAATTTGGAATCATGGGGATTCTCTAGATTTTATCTCTCCATCATTGGCAGAATCATTGATATGCCTACAGTTCAAAATAGTCATTTTGACTGACCGGAGTCTATGGTGGGTAATTGAACGTAGTGAATTGAACAGCTGTTCCTACATATATTTAGATAGTAACTGTTGAATAATCACAATTAATACAAGCTTTTGATGTTTTAAATCACATTAATGTTTAATACATATTTATCAAAACATCTTGTTAAACAGTCACAAGCAACAACAGTCTGACAAACATGAACTATGATTCAGCAGTATAATAAATATTATTGTATATAGCTGACATTGGCAGTGTATAGGGCTATTTCTACATGTATTTTCAATAAAATAAAAAAAAAAAATTACAAAAATCTTTTCGGTCTGGTCAAATTTATATAACAATGATTATGATGTATTGTGATTTAGGACCAAACTAATGACAAGCATGATTAAGTATGATCATATCTTGTAACATCAAAATTTCTGATGTTGATATATGGTAACTTTTGCTCATTTGCATGTTAAAATACATTTAAGCAAGTAATCTGTATATACACTAAACTGAGTGGAGAGTACAGAGTTAAACATATACAGGCAAGTTACAGGAAAGATAAGTTTCAACAAAGTCTCACATTGCACAAATACATGTACTTACTAACATTTAATCATGTTCAAGTTTTCTCATGTTTCTGCTAATTACATGTAGCAGTCATTCTCAGAAAATAACCAAGAATGGACTACAGAGGACGCTGCCATTGTTATGAGTGGTCTTTAAGTAATCTACAATTGGATTAGGTTAGACTGGCTACAGTCAGGGAGATACTAGTAACATTTTTCCTGTCTCAAGTGAATTAAAGAAATATCTCCATGAAATACTCCACTCGCCATGAAATACCCACCCACCACAAAATCGCCCCGACTGGTCACGTCTGCTGTACGTTCGTTGCTATCAAATAATCATATTCTAATTAGATTTTGCTGTTCACATGCACATTCTGTTTAATGAGGTTGTGTTAAAGGTCATACATAAAATAGCAGAATTTCTCATGATTGTTTCATCATTGTTGAACTTTATGAAAATATAGTTACGTAAACTGTGCTGTCTCCATGAAAAACTAAAAAGCTTATGCATAATTTGCGACAGAGATATCAATGATATCAAAGGCAGTTGAATGAGGTTTCTTAACCGAGTACCAAAACATTTGTTCTGAAGTTTAATCCGTCCTGTACATCGACATTGAACAACATTTGAACACAGAGACGGCTTGTCGCAACTTGGTTCTTGTGCCACACAACCGCAAATCATACTGACCTCTGATTGGTTTAAAGACTACTACCCATTACCTCATTAGCATAACAGTGCATGCTAAAAAACCATCTTGTTTTTATGATTCCGATATAGGGTGCAGTGGACAATGCCAGTCGGGGTGATTTCGCCATGAATGGGGAAAGTAATTATTTTAAAAATTGAAAATTACCCCAATATTTTAAAAAATCATTCTGACTGGAGCCAGTCTAGGATAAGGTACAATTACATGTAGGGTTATAATTAAACCATATTTGCTCTATTAGAAGTGCATATGCAATACAAGTGCATATGACCATAGACACCTCTGTCATTTACAGCACATGCAAATACCTTGTAGATAGTGCAAATACCATATTTTTACTACATGTACTAGATACACATCTCAACAGTTGCATGTATTGTATAATAGATCATCAAGACTAAAGACTGCACACAGTCAAAATTTTGACCAGTCCTATAAAATACCTGGATATTGGATGTTCTGGATACTGGAAGGTTCATAGATTTGTTCTGAGCAATTCAGAATTTGGATCAAAGGAGAATGCTGCTACTGTAGTGCAATACCATTACCAATCAGTGAGAAATGAGAACTCAGCTGGTTCACCAACACTTGTAGCTGGTAGGGTTGCCGCCTTGAATAGTGAAAAAAAAAAGAAAAAAAAAAGAGAAAATAATTCAGTTAATTATAGCAAATATCTGAAGTTCATGTAATATATCAAGATGGTTAGACCATATCTGTTTTTACTTTCTGTTGTAAATTTAATGCAGTGAGCAACTTAATGGGAGACTAGGCTCAGAGGAACCCCTGATTTAAGCACAACAGTCATGCTTAAATAAATGCCCCTCCCCAATTTATATGCAAATTAGTCAGTTTGCTAGGACATACTACCGGTAGTGCATCCAGAGAACAATGATGCAACTCCAATAGCACTATCAGCTATCTTGATATATTATCATTAGTTGGCAAGGCAATACTGAATGGTGCTATTGTAACTACATATTCAAAAATCTCTAAAATCAGCACTCAATCCAGCATATCATGTGCACAGAAAAGAAACTACATGTACAAATGTACAAGCAGATTAAACAAGTCATTGTCAATGACACGTCCCCGTTCCGTTCATATTTGAGTGACATATACATTCAAAGCAGATCATGACCGAAATGCACCTGCATATGTACAACACATTGTGCTAAATCTGAACAAAATCCATCCATGCATGACTGAGATCCGGTTCTGGAATTGTGAAAATACGTGATTTTGATGCATTTTCGGCCTTAAAATGGCCATCATTCCACTATTGTTAAGCAGATCATGAAACAAATGCACATATCTATTTGTGACATGATGTACCATGTGTGTGTGAAGTTTGAACTTGATCAATCC